ACCGAAATGCTCTATGTGTTCTAGTGAGCAGTCCCTCCAAATATGAAGATCCTCCCACTATAGTTGCTCTCTGGAAGGTTTGTTTCTGAGTTTCATTTTGTAGATCTCATCTCTTTACACCCTTTTTTCCAATTGAAATGTCTTATGACTTTTTTTTTATAGTACAAAGGCAGCACGTGCACCTTGTAGATAACTCACATATCCCAAGCAAAAGTGTGTCAAAGTTGCCCTTAATTCTCCCCGGTAGCAGAAATGGAACTGCTCAGTGTGCATTCATATAGACGCTCTTCTGAACATCAGGGTGACATCAGTATTGTCTAGTGCTCAGTTAAAACACTTTGTAGTCAAATAGGTCTTAGTTTGAACCTCATCTCTTAAGAACTCTTGGACAAGTTTTAAACAACTTATTCCTCAGCTGTAAAATGGGAATATTCGAAGTGCCTACTTCAGAAGGTTGTGAGGCGTGAGTGAGATAAGGCACAAAGAACACCCATGTACCTGTCTTCCCGGAAACAGTCAGGTAATGTTAGCTAGTGATGATGGTGCCGGCGCATGTAGATGTCACATTCACTGGGCTATGTTATACATGCAGTAAAATTTCCTTGTTTTAGTGAACAGTCCTCTGAGTTTTGGTAGATCCATATACTTGTGTACTGCCGCCTGAACATACAGGTATAAAACAGCCGTGTAACTGAAGAAAATTCCCTCATGCTCCCTATAGTCAGCTTTTCCCTCCCAAGAAAAAACTACTGGTAACTGCAGTGATCTGTGTTCTGTGGCTAATAGTTTTGCCTTTGCTAGAGCGTCAAATAAATGGAATTGTGCAGTGTATTGTGTACAGTGTATCGTGTTATCAGTCTCACTCATTTTAGCATAATGCATTTGGGTTTCATCTATGTTATATGCATCCATGGTTTGTTCCTTTTTATTGCTGATTAGTATTCCACTAAATATGTGGACCACAGTTGGTTAGCTACTCACCAGTTTATGGACATTTTGGTAGTTTCCAGTGGCTGTTAGAAATAAAGCTTCTATAAATATTTGAATATGAGCCTTGGTGTATGTAGTATTTTTGTTTTTTTGTTTGTTTGTTTTTTGTTTTTTGGTACCAGGGATTGAACTTGGGACCTTGCGCTTGCAAGGCAGGTGGTAGGACCACTGAGCTAAATCCCCGGCCTGACTCTCTGTGGTTTTTTTTTCCCGTGGGTAAATACATAGGCATGGGATTGTTGGGTTACAAGTATGTACTAAACTTTATAAGGAACTGCTGAAATGTTTTCTGTGTGTCTGTACTGTTTTGTGGTTTTACCAGCATATATGAGCATTCCAGTTCCTCCACAACTGTGCCAACACCTGTCAGTCATTTTAACTTTAGCTATTTTAGGATGGATTTTATCTCATTGTGGTTATAGTTTGCACTTTTAATGGCTGAAAATAATGGTCATTTTTTCATGTGATGATTTGCCTTTTGTGTATTTACATGTTGGTATGTCTCTTCATATTTGGGGGGCATTTTCAATCTGGTTGTTTTCTTATTTTTTAGTTGTAATGGATACAGGTACTTTTTCAAATATATGTTTTAAGAAAATATTCTCCAAGTTTGTGACTTAACTTTTCATTTTCTTTTTTTTTCCTCATTAAGTTTATTGGTACATTTAAAGCAAACAATACAGTTACATTTATCATTGGGATCCTGTACCTTTACATGATGTGTCTTGGTTCTTATTTTTCCCCATTCCCCTGCACCCCCTTCACCCCCGTCACTCTTCCCTATTTACAAAGACTTTGTTGCCATTTTTTTCCTTTTTTCATATTTTTTCTTTTCCTTTATTTCATTTCCCCTCCCTTTCACACTTCCCCTTTAGTCATTTCCTTCCTATTTCACACTATCAATTATACTATTTGAACCTTATATACACTTTTAGTTTTTCACACTAGAGAAACGTGTGTCCTATTTATTTCACTTAAGAGTATAGTTTCAATGTGCATCCATTTAGCTATAAATGTCTCTAGTTTCTCATTCTCTTTGGCTGAGTAATACTCCATTTTTTAGAAAATCCACATCTTCTTTATCCAGTCTCCAGCTGATGGGCATTTGGGTTGTTTCCAAGTCTCCTCTATTACAAACTGTGTCGCTATAAACATGGGTGCACATATCAGTGTGATATGATTCTTTTAATTCTTTTGGAAAGATGCCCAGCAAAGGGATAGCTGGGTCAAATGGGATCTCTAGTCCTAGTTCTTTGAGGTATCTCCGTATTGATTTCCACAGTGGTAGCTTTTCATTTTCTTAATTTTATCTTTTAGAGAGTAAGAGCTTTTAATTTTGAGAAAATCCAATTTTGTATGTCACCCAGAAATCTTTACCTAACCTTAGATTGCAAATCGTTTTTCCTGTGTGTTTTAGATGTTTTATAGTTTGGGGTATTACATTTAGGTCTCTGACATGTAAGTTGTTGTGGGTGCTGTGAGGTTAAGATTCAAAGTGCATTTTTCCATTTGTCCATTTGTTCCAGTACCTTTCACTGAAATGCAGTCCTTTCTCCACTGAATCACCTTGGCAGTGTCTTCCTTTAAAAATGTTCCTGGCATAAAATGGTTCATAATATCCTCCAATTCTTATCCGTTTGATGTGTGTAGCACTTGTAGTGATATCCCTAATTCCATTCTTGATATTTGTAGCTTGGGTATACTTTTTTTCTGATCAATTTGACTATAGATTTACTAATTTCTTTAGCTTTTCAAAGACCCAGCTTTTAGTGTTGCTGATTTTTCTCTACTGTCTTTAATTGATTTCTGTGCTTACATTTATTTCCTTCCATCTATTTACTTTTTAAACTTTTTCTTCTGTTCCTAGTATCTTTGATCATTGATTTGAGAGCTTCTTTTCTTTATTTTTTAAAAAATTAATTCAATCCATTTTTTATTTAAATCAAGTCTATTTATAGATGATGCATTAAAACAAAAACTGCACAGTAAAAGTAGTATTGTAGCCGGGTGTGGTGGCTCATGCCTGTAATCCCAGCCCTCGGGAGGCTGAGGCAGGAGGATCGCTGTGAGTTCGAGACCAGCCTGGGCTACATAGTGAGACCCTGTCTCAAAATAAACAAAAAAAAGTAGTATTATGTGTGTTTCAATACATGTATACATTATGTAATGCTTAATTTGGGTTAAACTTATCTGCCTTCTCATTTATCATTTCTTTATGGTGAAAGCTTCCAAAATCCTTTCTTCCAGCTTTTTGGAATATACCGTACAGTGTCATTGTCTACACTCACCCTACTCTGCAGTAGCACACCAGGGCTTCTTGTTCCTATCTGTGACACAGAACCCACAGATCAGCCTTTCTCCATCCCTCCCTTCAGCCTCAGTAGCCTCCATTCTACTGTCAAATTTTATGAGGTCAATGTTTTAGATTCCACATATGAGTGAGGTCAGGCAGCAGTTGTTTTTCTATGTCTGGTTTATTATACATAACAAAATGGTGTGCACTTCCACCCATGTTACCACAAATGTCATGATTTCATTTTTTTGGCCGAATAGTATTCCATTATGTATATGTACCACATTTGTATATCTGCTCATCCTTTAGTGGACAGTTAGATTGACTGCATGTCTTGGATATTGTTAATAGTGCTGCAGTAGTAAACTTGGCAGTGCAGGTATGTCTTCAACCTGCTGGTTTCATTTCCTTTGGATATGTACCGCATAGTAGAATTGCTGAATAATATGGTAGCTCTATTTTAGTCTTTTGAGGAGCTCCCACACTGATTTCCATAGTGGCTATACTAATTGCCAAAGTAAGTATTTGAGGTTAGACTTTCTCTTTAGTACTATGTTGGCAACATCTCACAATTTCTGGTATGTTTTCACTTTCATTTAGTCCAGAATATTTTTGAATTTTCTTTACGGCTTTTTCTTTTGCCTATGGGTTGTTTAGAAGTATGTTTAGTATCTTTAGTTATTTTCTATGTGTTTTATCAGTTGTTGATATAATTGGAGGTCTCACTATGTAGTTTAGGCTGGCCTTGAACTCACTATGTAGCCCATGCTGGTCTCAAACTCAAGGAGATCCTCCTGCCTCAGCCTCCTGAGTGCTGGGATTACTGGTATGCGCAATCACACCTGGCTTTTTACTTTTTATTTTAAGACAAGGTCTTGCTAAGTTGCCAAGGGTGGTCTGGAATTTGTGATCCTCCTGTCTTAGCCTCCCAATTACAGGGGTGTGCTACTGTACGTGTTTTTGCCCAGTTCCTTTTATAAGGTGGGAAGTTGAATCCTAGTCTGGTTATTTCAGCAAGGCTGGAAGCAAAAGTTCTCAGCAGTATACATTCTGAATAATATTTCTAGGACAACTTCTATAGCACTTCCTTTTTATGTGAGATATGAGTGTGTGTGCATGTACATACTTATTCAGCCACAGAAAATGTAGTACATGCACTAAAATGTGCATGGCATATGAATATGGAAGGTGGCTACAGCTTCATAAATAGAATCGTATGATCAGTTAGTGGCATAACATGACCCTATCCCAAACGTGTCAACCTTTTCTGATCTCCTTGTCCTGGTATAACTAGCTCCTTCCACCTTGAATGTTTCCTCATGTCATTTCCTGTCTGGAAGCTTTCCAAGTAGCCTCTGGAACCAGCTCCATGGTCACTTCGTCTCTACTTCCCAGCGCCTCTGATAGAACCCGAATCTCCTCCTGGCTCCCATCACCCCTGCCCAAAGCAGGATTTCAGCCAAGGTCATGCTGGATTGTAATTGTCTGATTCTCTGTAGACTCCCTTCTACCAGGAAGCACTTGAAAACGGGGGACTTCTTTTATTTCTTTTTATGTTTCTCCTGTTCCCAGCACAGTATATCTACTATGTAGAACTTTTCAATAAGCAGGTGTTGAATTAGTGGCTCTTTATGTGCTGAAAAAATATTGCTGTTATTCCTCCCCATTTCAGAATCATCTGTTGGTAAAAATGAGCCTTTCTTAATCATTTTACTTTTCTCCTAGTAAATTCCTCATCTACGCCTGTCTGCTGCTCTTCTCTGTGCTGCTGGCCCTTCGTCTGGATGGCATCATTCAGTGGAGTTACTGGGCTGTCTTTGCTCCCATATGGCTGTGGAAGTTAATGGTCATTGTCGGAGCCTCCGTTGGAACTGGAGTCTGGGCACGAAATCCTCAATATCGGTAATACTGCTTTATAAAACCTGCTCTGTCCTGAGAGCAGTACCTTGGTTTTTGTCACTCATAATAAAATAAGGACCATTTCTTTTTGAAATGAAGTTACATAAGAACTGCTTGGGATTTTATAGAACTGTAGTATAAATAAACTGAGGTGTCATCAATGTTTTTAAAAGGAAGATGTTTGATATTGTTTTCCTACAAAAGCAGTGTGATTTCAGTGGTTCAGTACCTAGCCAGCCCACAAATCCCTGTATAATCTCAAACATACCCAAAAAACAGAAATATTACGCCATACTAGACTAAGAGGCATGAAGCTACATGTGCTTGGGAGGGATTCATAGTTCTAGCTGATTGTCACGTATCTGCCTTTCTCCAGTTTGCTTTGGAAGGAAGCGCCACTTGTCCCAGTCTCCTAGTCCTGGGCTTTAGGACTGTTGTAATGTCAGGGAAGTAACTTGGCCAGAACACCAGATGGGTTTGGCAGTAAAGAAAGTTGAGAGCCAGATGCTTAGGGGGAGGGGTGCATGCAGCTTGGCGTTGCTGACCTCTGTGAGCGTTTTTCCCTTCTCTCACGGAAACTATGTTATGGCTGTGTCTAGCCTCATGCACTCATAGGTGGGGCTTTTGGAGCAGGCTGGATCTAAGGTGTGTGATGCTGGGATTAAGTGTGTGTGGTATCAAATTAGTCTCTGATTGGAATTAGCATAGCTCTGGGTGTGGCTGAATTGATTTACTAAGACAAGCCCCACCCTGGATGTGAGTGGCACAGCTCAGAAGGCCTGTAGCCTCCTTGGGATAAAAGGGAAAGGCAGGCTCACAGCTTACTGCCTTCTGCCTGCCTTGAACTGTTTCTCCTCTGTGATAACCCTCTGCCACACCTCCCTGCTTTAGAGCCAGCCAGCTACGGACTGAAACCTCTACAGACTGTGAACCAAATAAACCTTTCCTCCTTTAACTTTGGGTGTCGGGTATTTTGTCTCAGCCTAGTGAAAAGTAACCAAGCCAGACTGGGGCTGCATCAAGGATGGGGGTTGGGGAGAGCTGGAGAACGGGAGCTTTTCTAAACCTTCACCAGGAAGATGGGGCGTGCAGCACTTTAGGCAGGTAGGGAGAATAAAGGGAGCTGCTACTGCTCCTTGTGTAGGAAGAGTGTAGAAGTTGGGGCACTGCAGTTCTTTAAAAAAAATTCTTGGTTATTAACTTTTAAAAGAAATCAAGGTTTAGATCATTTGAAAAATGTATCACATGTGTATCCAGGAATTTTTAAATAGCTACAGGAAGAGCCTTGGCAGATGAGGACCATTCATGTGTAGCTATTTTAAAGTTTGTAGATATTTTTGAAAGATTGATTACCATTGTAGCTATCTATACATCTTTTCTTTTATATTTTTAGGTATCCAGTGCGTGTTCCTCAAAGAATGAAAAGTTAACTAACATTTTAGTTTCCACTATTTGATATTTAGAAGTTATTTCAATGTTTTCTCTGTTGGCTTAAGATTTTTCAAGCAAAGAAAAAAGTGTGTGTGTTTTTAAATGTACCAAATGTACAAATGTGCTCCTTCTAATGTCAACATTAGTGGTGGAGGTCAGGGAATAACCTCTGACTGCATTTGCTCTGTCCCATCCTCAGGACCAACAAGACATATATATCAGAAATGTCATCTGGACAGTATTTTGAATGAACATTGTAGGACTTTCAAATTATAAAATATTATAAATTATAAAATTTGTGACCTTTTAATTTTTCAATAGTTAAATCTATAAAGTGCATGCATGATACTTAAATAGCTAATTGAAATGATTCTGAGAATAGTGTTAATTCATTCTTTTGCCCTTTGTCTTTCATCTGCAGATTTTAATGCATCTTAATGGACTAGAAAGGAAACTAAAAAGATAGTCCTAATTTGATTTGCATTACAAAATATAACCTAACAAATAGCTACCATATCTTCTTGAACATAACTCATACTTGTTCGCAAAGCTAGTTATTTTTATTCTGTTGTATGAAATGCATTTTACATTTTGATACTAGAGATTGAAGCAAGAGCTTTAATACTGAACTACATCCCCATCCCTTTTATTTTTGCGATAGGGTCTTGCTAAATTGACCTGGTTTGAGTAGAACTTCTAATCTTCCAGAGTGTTGGGATTATAGGTGTGCACCACCATGATGGGCTGAAATAAGTAAGAGATGAGGCTCATGGGACATAAGAGGTATTTGTCATCTTAAGAGGTATTTGTCAGTTTTTATCAATAGAAGCAGTGTGAATAATCTGGGAGGTACCTCTTATTTGAGTTAAAGTTATGAGCAAAAGTGTTTAGGTATACATTCTGGGAAATAATGCTTGTGGCTTCTTCTGAGAGTACCCTTAAAAAGGTAAAACATTAAATCTGATGTGGTTATAATGTTTATCTCTTGTCATGTAGTTAGTTCTTTGATGCTTGAAAGATTCTCTATTAGAGATTAGGTTTCCTTTTCTTTTTGTCAAATTTGAAAGTCAAATTCAAAAACTCATCTTAAGTTGGTACTATATTTGCAATGAACTATTTGCTTTTAATGGAGATTCTGAACTGCGGGTATTTTTCTTCTTTTTCTGTCCCTCTTTAGAGCAGAAGGAGAAACATGTGTGGAGTTCAAAGCCATGTTAATTGCTGTGGGCATCCACTTGCTCTTGTTGATGTTTGAAGTTCTGGTCTGTGATAGGATCGAAAGGGGAAGCCATTTCTGGCTTCTGGTCTTCATGCCACTATTCTTTGTTTCCCCGGTATCTGTTGCAGCTTGTGTCTGGGGCTTTCGACATGACAGATCACTAGAGGTAAGATTTTATATACTTAAGGATGTTTTCAAAACAGTTCTTCTAATGTCAGTACCTTGCCCTTTGTTAAGAAGAGATTGTTAATTCAAGATCACGGGGTGTAAGGAAAGAAAGATGATGGAAATTTTTCTTTCTCTTTCTTGACCCAGAACAGTGGCTTTCTCCCAGGTCATCAGCCTTCTGGGGTGTCCTGTCTTTCCCACCTACTTGCAATAGTCAGACACCTCCAGTAGGATAGGCAGAAACACAGATATAATTGCCAGGCTGGGAAGTCTGAAATGTGTAGGGCAGGCAGACAGGCTGGAGACTAAGCAGACTGATACTGCAGTCCTGAGGCACAGTTTCTTCCTCATCAGGAAACATCAGTTTTGACAATTAAAACCTTTAATGGATTGCACGAGGCCCACCCACTTTACCAAGGGTAGGCTTTATTTGAAGTCAGTAAGCAACATATACCTTAGTGTTTGGTTAAATAGCCAGGTACTTTAACCCAGTCAAGTTAATACACAAAACTACCCATCTAAATACCTTAGACCTCACATTCTAGCACCTCAGCTGTTCTCTGGCTGGCTTTTCCTGATATGCCCGTGTCTATTCATTCAGTTAAACATTTGTCAGGTACTTACTGTATGCCAGGCCCTTTTTGCCTAAGAATAGGGGATACACAAATGAATAAAATGGCAGGACTAGTTATAGTAGTAACGAAAATAATTGCAGGTAATATTTATGGTACATGTACTTGTGTACCAGGCATTGGCATGGGCACTTGTGAAGTAGGTGTCATTTCCCAGAGAGGGGAGTGTGTTCGGGGCCACTCAGGAAGGGGCAGAGCCGAGATTCCATCTCAGTCAGGCTGACTGCAGGGCCCATGCAAGCTGTGGCCCAGTGCTGTGTGCCGACGGGTTGAGGAGAGAAGTGGAGGCTCTGTAGTCATCCCCCCTTATTCCGTATTTGCATTCCACAATTTCAGTTACCTGTGGTCAACTGTGGCCTGAAGATGGGATTTAGTACAGTAAGATGTTTTGGGAGAAAAACCACATTTCACATTGCTTTTATTATAGTAACTATTAGAATCCTTCTATTTTATTAGTTATTATTGTTAATCTCTTAGTATGCATTTTATAATTTAAACTTTACCATAGGTGTATATGTATTGGACACAAAGCAGGATGAATATGCAGTGTGGTACTAAGTGCAGTCTCGGGCATCTGTTAGGAGTCTTGAAACATGCCTGCCGATAAGGGGGACCACTGTAGATGCCTTGGGCAAGAAGAGTTTAGGAAGGAGCTAGTTGTGGTGGCTTATGTCTGCAATCTCAGCTACTAGGGAGGCTGAGACAGTAGAATTGTGATCTTGAAGCTGGCCTCAGTAACTCAAGACCCCATTTCAAAAAAAATTAATAAAAAATGGATGGGAATGTAGCTCAATAGCAGAGTGCTTGTCTACCATGTGCAAGGCCCTGGGTTCAGTGTCCAGCACAAAAAGAAAAGGATAGAATAGAATGGTGGAAGGAACCTCCTGTTGGAAGGGAACATAGGAGCCAGAAGGTGAGCCTGGACCCCAGGTATAGGTTTTGGTGATGGAACAAGGCCCTCTAGGACCCAGAGGGAGCAGGACTTGGGGCACTAGGAAGGGCTTGGCCTGGTGGTCACCTCTCTGGCCCAGGTAGCAAGCCATGCCATTGGGTTGGAGTACTTCCTTTCCCTGCCTACTTTCACTTTCCCTGCCTAAACAGCCTGGCAATTTCTCTTCCACTCTGCTCCCTTCTGGCTGCTTGCTGGGAACGGCTGAAGAAAGTCACGTGGACTCAGCCACCAAGGTTTATGAGTCTTCAGCTTCAGCCAGACTGCAGTAATGGGCCCCCACAGAGTGAACACTGTTTTAGAGGTTAGAGTGGGGAAAACCTTATTCGTTTGAGGAATAAAGCACAGATATGCATATAGTCTATTACCTACAAAATATCCGTGGTATTAAAATGTCACCAGGGGTACAATTAGAAGCAAATATCTCTCAAGGCTTTTGGGGGAGCAGTGATGGAAGCAAGGTTGAGCAGCACTGTGCTGGCCTTCCTTGTGCCTGTGCATCCTACTCATCTATCCGCAGGGCCCATGGTGCCCCAGACCATTTATAGTCTCTCAGAGACCTGCCTGCTGTCCACCCTTGCTCTTTGCATGTTGTCCCCTAGGCATTTGCTCTAGAACTTACCACACTTGGCCTAGCAACTTTTCTGTCCCTCCTCTGAAAGAGAAAAGCAAACAGCTGCAGCCACAAGCCTCTCTCAATCCTTTTCTCTGTTGTCGTGATTTCTCCTTTCTCCTCCCATTCACAGAACAGCTCCTCAAAAACGGGCTATTTCACCCCCACCACCTTATCTCATACTGCTGGGTCTCTGCCCAGCCCCCTGCTCCTGGGGTTCCAACATGAGAGCCCCAGGCCAAGTCCAGTAGGCCCTTTGCAGTCTACATCCTTTTGGACCATTGAATACCCGGGAGCCCCAGACACTGTCGAGCATCTCTTGATGTGACTGGCATAGTCCTCATTTCTGGTCTTTTGACCCTCTGGCCTCTTCCATCTTCAGCTTGTTGACCGAGTTTCTCCTCCTCTGCTCTGTACAATTTGCTGTAAGCTCATAGCATTCTAATTTGGGGACATCTCTCTTCACTGTTCTTACCTGCTTGGAGTGATCTCGCTGACACTCCTGCTTCCACTTCCCCTCACATACTGTTGCCTCCTAAATTCCTACTCCAGCCTCACATTTCTTTACTACCTCCAGACCCCTTATCCAGCTTCACCCCAGTCTGCTCATCCTCTTGGTTATATCCACCATTCTACTTAGTCATCTGCACTTTTCTACTCTGTGCTTCTGTTGCCTAGTATGTTATTCCTATTACCTGAGCAAATGGAGTAAAACTGAGCTTTAAAAAATCACAACAGGGCTGGGAATGTAGCTCAGAGGTGCAGGGCCTGACAAGCACAATGCCCTGAGTTTAATTTGCAGTATAAAAAGAAAAAAAAATCATGACAAAAGCTTACATTAAAAACAATCATGAAAAATCAAAACATTTCTAATGGGTCCCACTTGCTCCAGTGTTTCTCAGTGGAGGAGGGAGGTGTGTTGTTGGTATTCCAGATGGGAACCGTTTGGTTGAGCCAGTGTCCTATGCTTTGCACGACGTGTATCGCTGACCCTTGTGCCTTAAGTACTCATGGTGGTGCTGTCCTGCAGGTCTCTCTGATATCTGAAAGTGCTCCCCCATGTTTCTTAGCCAGTCTTGTCCCTAGGAGCAGCATTGGTGGGTTGAGGAGTATCCATAGAGTTACCTGAAAGCTCTTAGACAGGGGTGAAGAAGGAAGTTTTAAAAACCTATGAGACTCTGGTGTGAAAAACTATAATAGTACACAAGATCCTAATGGGATAATTAAGAGTGTGATATAGGAAGAAAAGGGCTAAAGGTGTAGGGAAAGTGGGAAGGGTAGGGGCAAGGAAATAAGGGAAAAGAAAAAAAATATGAGAAAATGAAAAAATGGAAATAAAGAGTTTGTTAATGGGGAGGGGAGGAGGGGGTGAAAGGAGGGCAGAGACAAGGGGAAAAAATGAGACTCAAGACCTGTCATGTGAAGGTACGGGATCCCAGTAATGAATGTAAATGTATTGTAGACCTAGATTGTACCAATAAACTCAATAAAAAGGAAAAAAAAAACCTATGAGAATATGGAACTTGGTTTCTTGGAAAGCAGGAGCCTACACCAGCGCTCAGACTGCATCAGGCAGGAGTTGCAGAAAGTTAGTCTTTCGCACATTCACGCCCCTGGCCTTCCCACCCACAGGAAGAAACAACATGATGGAGCTGAGCTCCTGTAGATTTGTGCTACCAAAGGAAGAGAGTGTACAGCAGCAAGGGGGTGGCTGGGTGCAGGCTCGCACAGAGCTGTAAACCACCAGGGTCTGCTGGTGGAGCCTGCATTGGGACAAAAAGAGGTAGGGGACTTCAGGTGCGCCAAGGCATAGAGGCAGGAAAGACCCGTCAGCCACATGGACTCCAGGGAAGCTCAGATCTTCCTGCAGTGGAGGTAGGGGGCCATGTGGATACTGGGAGAAGGGAGCCTCCACACAGGAGTGGGGCTGAACAGAATCACCTCAGTGGCCTCTTAGGGCACAGTGATAGTGGACGCTTGGAGGAAAACACTGGTATGTGACATCCGTTGGGGCATCATTCCAACTACTAGCTCAGGATAGTTTCCTGTGCATTAGTAGGTTACACCATGTCCCCCTTCAATGACACCGTATCTTTAAGAAGCTGAGTTCTCAGCAGTTGCTGTGATTAAAGATAGTACTGTGGAGAAACGCAGGTGCAAAACAGCGAATGAGAATGGAAGTACCTTATCTAATTCCAGGTTTGAGACATTGGGTGCAATCTGGCACACATACCTCATTAAGAATTTGTTATGGTTTTGAAAGAATGATACTTTTTTTTTCTCACAGTATTGGGGGTTGAACCCAAGGCCTTCACACTGAGCTATATCCCTATTCCTTTTTATTTCTTTTTTATTGTTATTAATTCTTATTTTGACACAGGGTTTAGCTAAATCCCCTAGATTGGGCTTGAACTTGTAATCTTCCTGCCTCAGCCTCCCAGGGGCCTGGGATTATAGGCATGCACTACCACACCGTGCGAAAATAATATTTATCTTGTGACTTAGTGATTCATATTTCCAATTGGCTCAGTGTGGAAAGACTAAGTTTAGACCTAATTACTTAAATCAATAGAAATATTAGGTATTTGTTTCAGCCCAGAAGTCTGTGGAAGATTTATTTGCTCACCAAATGGCTGCTGGACTGCGAACTTGGAGAAGCTGTAGGACAGGTCACAGATTTTCATTCGGTAGACAAGGACAAGGACTGTCACAGAAGGAAGAGCAGCCTGGGAGCTTTGGAAGGAGAGAGCCGTCCAGGCTAGCGGCAGGGACTCTAGTGGCAGGGACGCTAGTCGGGAGTCTGTGGAAGTAGCCGGCAGAGGCTGAAAATAGGGAAGGCCTACCTGGGCCGCTGTGATGGGCACAGAGAGTGGGTGGGGATTCACGAGAAGTTGGGATGGGGGAGTGCACTCATGTGGTGACTGAACATGAGATTGCGGGGCAGTGAACGGAGGGTGCTTCCTGGTTTCATGCCCTAGGAAATCAGGCTGCTGCGGTGCCTTCGAGTGAAAGGAAGGAGAGGAGCAGGGAATAACAAGCTCACTTGGGGACAGACTTCACTCAGGGTGCCTCTGGGAAAGCCAAGTGGTGCCTGCACCCCCGAGTGAGGTGTGCAGCAGGAAGCCTGGCTTGGAGACAGATTCGAAAACCGACCACTGGACAACATGGGAAGCTATGACAGGGCCAGGGAGTGAGGGGATGAGTGGAGCAGAGTGTTTTTTTCCATGTACATTTTTCTAGTAGGGAGAGAAGACAGATTTGGGGGGGCCGTGGGAAGTATCACTATTTAAGGAGAGGTAAAGGAGCCTCAGAAGGAGTCATCAGATCATTCGAAGGACACCGAGATGCTGTGGTGACATCCTTGAAGCGCATGCTACAGGGATGCCCAGGAGGATACAAGTGTTCTGCTGCCTGCTGGCTTGGGTGACCTTGATGAAAGCAGTGTCCTAGTGGGGTGGAAGGGTAGATAAGGCAGTAGGGGCTCACATAGCTGCTTGTGTCTCACACAGGTGACAGTAGAGAAAGAGCTAAGATTATGAGAGGTACAGGCCATGGGATGGGTGGGCTTATTTGGATTTGAGGGTTTTTTGTTTTGTTTTGTTTTTTGGGTTTCTTTGGTACCAGGGATCAAACTCGGGTCCTTGTGAGGCAGGTGGCAGAACCACTGAGCTAAATCCCCAGCCCCAAGGTTTTTTGTTTTTAATGAGTAATAGTTCACTTGTTTGCTTTAGAAGGATCAGTGGTGCAGGTGGAGTTCAAAATGCAGTGAAGAATCTCAAATTGAGAGCCTTCAAGGAGCCAAAAAGGAAGAAGTGGGGTGTGGGGCCGAGTCCTAGTTATGAGACAAAGGAAGTAAAGTGTACAGTGGTGACAAATAAGTGATTGTTGGTAGGGGCAGGAAGGAGGCTGGGAGGACATCCACTGCCAATTGCCTCTTCTCAGTACACCTGGAAACAGGGCCATCTGCCATCGGCATCAGCTCTCAGGCATCCAGCTCCAAAAAGGATGGGGCAGCCACTAAGCAGAGGGATGAGACGGGAGAGCAGGGCATGTTTCTTCTTAGCAAAGCGCTGCTGTGCTCTTCCAGAGCTGAAAATCAGTAATTTCCACTGTACTGTAATTCAAGTTTGTGTTACGATTCTCATTGCCATTGAATGCATTAACCAGATAACTGCAGTATTGAGTGCCTCTGACTTTAAAAACTGATTCTTCTCTTCATTTTCAGTTAGAAATCCTGTGTTCTGTCAACATTCTCCAGTTTATCTTCATTGCCTTAAGACTGGACAAGATCATCCACTGGCCCTGGCTTGTATGTAACTCAAAATTTCTTTTATTACAAAAGTAATTAATGTACATTCTAAGAAACTTGGAAAACATGGAAAAGCATATGTAGTAGACTGATAATCACCCATATTCCCATTCTTGGAGATAATATGGTTACTGTGTTTTATTATATAAATAGTTGGGATTATACTACATATAAATTTTTGTATCCTGCTTTTTAAATCTTAACCTATAAGTATTTATGTCAGTATAATATTTCTGTAAACATGTCTTTTAAAATGTAATCAATGCAAAGTATTCTTTATTTGAAATTATCAAACCATCCCCTTATTTCTGAATATTTCAGTTGCTGCCACTATTTGCAATTTAAAACATGCTGCAAAATTTAAGATTTTATATTTTTTAATTGACAGAGTAATTTTAAATATGGGTGTGTGTGTGTGTGTGTGTGTGTGTGTGTGTGTGTGTGTGTGTGTATAATGGGTATGGTGTGACGTTCCAATACATGTTTACAATGTGTAAGGATCATGTCAGGGTAACTGATATATCTGTTACCTCAGACATTTATTGTTTTGTGTTGAGAAGAAACTTTCAAAATCCTCTCTGATAGCTATTTTGAAATATTCAATTATTTATTGTCAATCATATGCTATAAACATTAGTGTTTCCTCTCATTCAACTTGCAATGTATATTTTTATTCATAAATGTCATTGTGTGATTTTTTATTGTTCTCTTAGGAAAGACTCTAGAAATTATATTATTGGGCTAAAGGGTAGGAATTTGTTGAGATTTTTAAATATGTATACTGTGTGGTAATTTGCTTTTCAAAAAATCTGTACCAGTCTACACTCTTGCTAGATGTGGAGTCATAAATTATGTCTTTTAACTGTGGCTTCAGCTAGTAAGTATTTGGTTAAAATTGACTATGGATGGAGGGGGTAAGGAGCAAAGGGTGTATAGAAAAACGGTAAGCTACAAATTAGAGAATACAATATTGTTTCAGTGAGTGAATGCATAGGAAGAAGGTTGGGAATAAAAGAAGAGCTATACTGCCTGTGGGACCATGCCAGTATTTTTGTTTCGGTTTTTCTTACTGCTTGATGTGTACTTTTACATGCAGACATTCTTTGTATTAAGTAGATTTTACTTCTTTGAAAAAAATGAAAATATTCATTTGAGAGAAAGGAAGAAAATAAGGGAGCACAGATTTCAAAATTTAAAGTCGCAATTAGATTTATCACTTATGTCCAGAATGCTTAATAAAATATTCTTAATCAAAAATATTGTTCAGACACACATCCTGTGTCTTCAAAATACTGTATGTGAAAATGGTAATTGGGTTCAAAACTCCTTCTGTTGAAACATGGAAGAAACAGATCTGGACAAGACTACTTTTTATCATAAGTACGATCAGGAAAAAAAGATTAGGAACTTTGAATGTTTTCTATGGTTAGGAGAGTGATTTTTTTTTCTTCTGAATCCTGTGTGAAGCCCAGTGAATGAGGTGGTCTAATTGCTTCCTATAATGAATAAGACAGAGCAAATGAGGATGTTAAGATAACTATCATCCCACCCATGAAAGGGACTCCAATAAATGAATCCCATCACAGATGTACTTTAAAAGGAGGCGGGCACACAACACATAGACTTTTTAGCACAACATACAGTTGAGAATTCCAAGCTAGTCAGGAGAATTAAAAATCATGTACGTATATCAACTCAAATCAAACATCAAAAGCTAAAACGTAAAACTGTAGAACTGTTAGAAGAAAGCACAGGACAAAATTTAAGGGGCCCACAGTTAAAAATGGCATTAATAATATGGCCTTTAAAAGAAAGAAATCATAAATTCAGATGTCATAAAATTAAACCAAAGTGAAAGAAAAGAAACAAACTAGAGAAAATTATTTATCAAGTACTTAGCAAAACTTGTACTTACACTGAAAATATACAAATAATTGAATGTTTTGTTTTTGTTTTTGTGGAACTGGGGATTGAACCCAGGAGTCATCATATTGACCTACATCCCCAGCCCTTTTTATATTAATTCATTAATTAATTTAATTTTGAAACAGAGTCTCCCTAAGTTGCCAAGGCTGGACTTGAACTTGCTTCTCCTACTGCCTTGGCCTCTGAGCGTGCTGGTGTTACACACATATGCCATCATGCCCAGCCCAAAAAATTCTTAACACAAAATAAGAAAATAAAACAATTTAAAAATTGGTAAAAGACTTTAAAAGACAGTTCACAAAGAGGATTTACAAATGCACAGGAAAAGATGCTCAACATTATTACCCATCAGGGAAAGGCCAAATAAAACTATGGTGTGGTCCTGCCCTGCCATTTTCAGGATGGCAAAACAAAACACTGGCAACTCCAAGAGTGGGACTGTCACAGAGAAACTGGGACACTCCTTCATTAGTGCCAAAAGGGCAGGACAGGTTAGGCACTCAGGTACAAAGTTCGGTGATTTCTTATAATTAAACATGCACATACCATGTGGTATAGCAGTCGTGCTCCTGGGTACCTAACTTAGAAATGAAAACACGAAGCCTCACAAAAAGCCAGATACAAATTTTAGTCACCTCAACTGCGATACCTGAGAGCTGGAAGCCGACCTCAGTGAGGGTGAGGTGAACGCATGGCTCATCTGTACGGTGGAATGCCACAGCACTACAAGGGAACAACCTGGGGCTGCATGGAACAGTCGGGGGAACCGCAGGGACATTACAGAGGGAAGCTAGTCCCAGGTTACTGTCTGTGTAACCCCACTGGGGCAACCTCCTAAGGACAAAAGGACAGAGACAGAACAGATCCATGGTTGTCAGGTATTATGGGGGCATGCTGATGGTCTGACAACGACAGGACAGCACGAAGGACTTTTACAAGGTGACAGAACTCCGTGTGCTTTTGTAGCCATGCCAGTGTACACATGTTAGAACTCACAGAACTGTACACCCAAAGCAGTCTATTGTACTGCGTGATCATTCATAAAAGAGAAAGGGACCAGAGAGAAAGAGTGCCAGGGGACAGGGCAGCAGGGAGAAATGAAGGAAGGGAGGCTGGCTAGGTGGTGGCCCCCAGGCTTACCCTGTGGTCTTGTGAGTGAGTGAGACGAAGTCCTTCTGTTGCCACAGCCACGCACTCAGGATGCGCCTTGGTGTGTCAGCCTTGGAGTAGCATGACATAGCCAGGTTCACTAAGCTGAAGTTTCTGGGGAATAGAGTCCCAAATACCTGAGTCAAGTAGCTCCAGCAGATTGCAGAGCAGGCCTGTGAAGACAGTGTGTGAGGGAAAGAGGATGTGTGTGGGCACAGGGTGCTGGTACCATGCTGAAGCCTCTGGCACCAGTGCGAGTGGCAGCCGTGGGGAGAGCCTGCTCGAGTGGGAGTGAGTATGTGAGGAAGTGACTAAGCAAGAGGACCTCAGGAACGCAGAGCTGTGGCTGAGATGCCAGCTGTCTCTGAAGGAGGAAGACTGATGACTGCCCTCAAGGCAGCCCTGTGCATGGTGGGACTGCCAGGCTTTCCTGGAAAGCCCAGCCAGCCAGTGACTGGGCTGACATCTCTAAGACATTTCCACCCTGCTCTGCCCCGCAGGTGGTGTGCGTCCCTCTGTGGATCCTCATGTCCTTCCTGTGCCTGGTGGTCCTCTATTACATCGTGTGGTCCGTCTTGTTCCTGCGCTCTATGGACGTGATTGCAGAACAGCGAAGGACTCACATCACCATGGCACTGAGCTGGATGACCATTGTGGTGCCACTGCTGACTTTTGAGGTACGGTTCTCTGCAAGAAACCTGTTCAGCCCCCAGCCCAGCCTTCCCTGCAGCAGCATCGTGTATCCCTCCTCAGGCAGTGGAGGCACTGGGCATCACAATGTACTCTGTGGGAGAGGAGAACTGGGACAGAGGTGCTGCACAGGGTGTTGGCTGGGAACAGTGTGCTCTTCAGCCATGCTGGCTACACGGGCTGATTATTGGCTCCCCAAGAGGGGCCTTCCGTGTCCGTGATCTCGTAGTGAAGTACAGTAGAGAATTCCACAGTGGGCACTGGACACCTTAGAATGAGCACGAGGAGGAGTGCCACATACATCTCACCTGGTTCTCTCCCCGCAGAAGGACAGAGCCCTATCCTGTCCTGACATGACTTGCTCTCCTGAGACCTAACACACAGGGCCACCGACAGGTGCCGCATCCATGGGAACCTTACTCTGTCTTTTTCCCCAGATTCTACTGGTTCACAAACTGGATGGCCACAATGCTTTCTCTTGCATTCCCATCTTTGTTCCGCTGTGGCTCTCATTGATCACGCTGATGGCAACTACATTCGGACAGAAGGGTGGAAACCACTGTATGTATTCAGCATCTCAGAAGTCCTGGGCATGTGTGTGTGTGTGTGTGTGTGTGTGTGCTTGCACGCACGTGTATTGCATATGTGTATGCATGCGTGTGTATCTGCACACGTGTGTGTCCATACTCTGAAAAGATGAGTCCCAGAGCGCAAGAGGAAGGAGCGAGACCTGCCAAGGGCCTCCATTTTCCTTGGCTGGCCCCTCATGCATCTCTCGTCTGATGCAAACAGGCAGAATACCACCTCTCTGGGCTCCTGTTTCCAACACTGCAAAATAGGGCTCAAATAACCTTCTCACAGGGCTAAGTAAGGTAGATGGAAAATCCACATCTTCCACCAGAACCCAGGAGGTAGACCCCTTTTTGTTCCCCTTTGCCCCACCCACGCCCCCATGTCAGTCTTCCCTATACCGGGTCTTACCAGTTGTACCTGGCTGAGGCCCTCTACATCTCCACTTGCGTGCCATGGCACACAGTATAGAAATCATCTCTGCGGAGGGTCCCTGCCTCATGGGGCTGGGAGCTTGGCTGCGCGGAAGCCAGAAGGGCCTAGGTTTCCTTCTGAAAGCCTGGGGGTTGTGTCCAGACCTCAGCCCAGGCTGATTTTGCTTCTTTTGTCCTGAAAGAGCCAGTACAAAGCTGAGTCCCCTATCTCTGTCTCTGTCTCTCTGTCTCTGTCTCTCTGTCTCTGTCTCTCTGTCTCTGTCTCTCTCTCTGTCTCTCTTTCTCTGTCTCTCTCTCACACACACACACACGGACACACCACACACACATGCACACACAGAGACAAAGAGGGAGAAGAAACCTTGGGAGGTGGCTTTGAGGAAGGCCCATGAGCTCAGGCTGCATTTTTCCCTGGGCCTACTGGTGCCTACCCCTGCCCAGATTCCACAGGGTGACAGAAATCCTTTGGTGGAAATGCTCTCTGTCATCCATGGCTGGCTTCATCCTGGGCCTGGGAGATTAAGGAAAGGAAGCTTGGCCGGGGCACCCCAGATTTTGAGGATCACTGGAGAAGAGGATCTCACATTGGGGTACCCATGAAAGTCCCTGGAGGGCCAGGTAGCATGGTACTCTGCTCCCAAGAGTGTGCCACTGTTTCTGGTTTGAGTGGCCTGGACTGTGCCTGACCTTCTCATCCCCCACAGGACCCTACGCATGCTGTCACTGACATTCTGGGACCCCACTATCACCACCCCAGACCTGGGGGTCTTCATTCATTCTTCCCCTTCATGTGCATGCAGCCCTGCTCCATCCTCATTTCTGGGGAAGCCAGCTAATGTGTTAACTCCTGCCAGTAGGAGTTCTTGTTCCTGAAAGACAGACAACAGGAAAGGTGGAGACCATCACATTTTTTTAATTAATTGTATTGGTACATTTAATGTATACAATATAATGACATTCATTGTTGAAAATGTGTACCTTTACATAATCAACCTTGGTTCTTATTTTTTCCCCATAACCCTTCCCTCCCTTCAACCGCTCTGTCCCTCCCTATCTGCAAATACTTTGTTTCCATTATTATTTTTAATTTTCTCTTGTTAATTCCATTCCCTTCTTTCCTTTCCCCTTCCCCTCCCATTTCCTCTTCCTCTTTGTTCTTTTCTTCCTATTTCACATTATCTATTATACCTTTTAGTCCTTATTTACATTTTTAATTTCTCACACTAGAGAAACTATTCTGTATTTATACAAGTGTGTCCTGTTTATATCACTTAAGAGTAATGCCTCAATGTACATTCATTTAGCTATAAATGTCTCTAATTTCTCATTTTTTGTGGCAGAGTAGTACTCCATTTTATTTTTTTAAAAACACATTTTCTTTAATCTCCCATTGATGGGCAATTGGGCTGCTTCCAAGTTTTAGCTGTTACAAATTGTGCTTCTATAAACATGGATGCACATATATCGCTGTGGTATAATTCTTTAGGGAATTCAGCAGGGGAATAGCTAAGTCAAGTGGGACTTCCAATCCTAGTTCTTTGAGGCATCTCCATATTTATTTCCACAGTGGTTGTACCAGTCTGTACTCCCACCAGTAGTGGAGCAGCGTTCTTCTTCCCGCAGCCCAGCCAGCATTTGTTGTTTTTTGATTTCTTGATAGCAGCCATTCTTTGTGGGGTGAGGTGGAATCTCAGTGTTGTTTTCATCTGCATCTCTGCGTTGAACATTTTTTCGTATGTTTATTTGCTTTTCCTCTTTGTCTGAGAACATTTTTGGATTGTGTCTTTAAATTGAGAGGTCTGATTTTTTTTAAGTTCTTTATATAGTCTAGATAGTAGCCCTTTGTCTGAGGAACAGCTGGTGAAAAATTTTTCCCACATCGTGGGTTGTCTTTTCACACTGTTACTGGTTTCTCTTGCTGTGCAGAAGCTTTTTAATAAGAAGAGATCTCACTTGTTGATTCTTTGTGCTAGCTCACGGGCAACTGGGGTTTTGTTCATAAAATCTTTTCCTACACCAGTGTCTTCAAGGGTTTGACCTAACCTCTCTTCCAGACAGTTTAGTGTTTCTGTTTTAATATTTAGAACTTTAATCCACTTGGATATTAGTTTAGTGCATGGTGAAAGATAGGGGTCTAGTTTTAATCTTTGGCAAGTTGAAACCCAGGAATGTTCTTGTTTTTCAGGGTGGTTTGGTATTCGCAAAGACTTCTGCCAGTTTCTGCTTGAGATCTTCCCATTTTTGAGAGAATATGGAAACATCTCATACGATCTCCACCATGAAGATACTGAAGAAACAGAAGAGACGCCTGTTCCGGAACCTCCTAAAATTGCTCCCATGTTTCGCAAGAAGGCCAGGGTGGTTGTCACCCAGAGCCCTGGAAAGTATGTCCTCCCGCCTCCAAAACTAAATATCGAAATGCCAGACTAAAGGGCCCTGGTGGAGCTGAGCACAGGTGCCTGGGACGAACATCCTCCCTGCTTCCTCTGCACCTCCTTTACCGCAGACTGGAATGGAGCTGGCCCTCCAGGGACATCCCTCTCCTATGCTGATTGCATTCAGTTCTGATCAGCTGCCCACCACAGGACACAGGTGGCTGGTGATTGGTGATTGGTGGCGTGTGCAGAGAGAGATGCCAGGGGGTGGGGTATGTGAAAGAGGGAGGAATCTGATTGCTCCAGGGTGAGTACCTGTAGTGTGGTACCCAATCAGCGATGGCTGCTCCAGAGGCTTGCAGAAGAAGAGTCTGTCAATGGGGCAGCTTTCCCAAGTGCTAAAATCCCTATCAGAAGAGTTACTGGAAGACATGCTCTTCAGAGGGCTGCACCCTAGTCCAGCTCTGAGCTGTCCTGCTGCCTGCAGCCTGCCGGGACTGATACTAGATCTGAGCACACCTGGTGTGCAGACCCAGCACAGCCATGCATTTCCTGTCCCTCCTCTGCAGGGGTTTCCCTCTGAGCATGATGGGCACAGGTTTTCATGGCCTCGTCCCTGAGCCCTTTCCCATGGAGTGAATGACTCCATGCCTGTATAGTATTTATACAAATATTTTAGCATTGTAATATACGATCTCAATCCTAGTTCTGTACAGTATACTCTTAAAGTATTTTTTTACAAGCTTGCCCTGGAGACGGAAGTGTTCTGTTATGGAAATAGAAGTGAGTGGCATTCCTACCTGGCCACAGAGAGTGAAGACCCTCTTGAAACATGGCCATTTGTGCCCAGACTTTAGTGGCTGCTCCTACCAGCACAGCCATGACATGCAAAAATGTATGTGCTCCCCTATCGCACAGGGAGCATTGGCCAGCAGAAACCTAGCAAGTGCTGCCTAAGGCTGGGACACTGGAGAAGGTGGCCAAGTGCAGAAAGCCTGGAGGAGCAGTGAGACTGCCCTCAAGGAGAGCGAGGGGCACCTGGCCGTGCTGGCCCTGTGACCATGGTACATCAGGCTCTGCCACTACAGCTCATCCTGGTCCTACAAGTCAATAGCCTCTACCCTGGAATTGAGTTGGTCATTTTCCAGAGGATCAAAAGGAACACTGACCTTCTGATCCCAGTGGCCAAGGCAGGCTTTTGAGTGACCAGCTGCTCATTGGCCTCAGTTGGAAAGAAATAACATCCACCTCCTTCCTGCCCCTGCCCCTGCCCCTGGCAGTGGCCTCCAACAATGCCAGTCTCTTTCAGGGGAAGGGGGACAGAACGTTGCAGCACTTCTGCTCAATGTGTAAAAACTGTAGCTAAGTCCACTATTTTTGCTGCCTGTAGTTGTCCAATAAACTGATTCCTCATTTTACATGTGCACAGTGTGTGCCTTGTTTTAGATGTGCCCAGGTAACCTGACTTGCTCTCAGCCAGCCTTCAGGACAACGAATCCCTCACCGAGGGAAAACACCGCGAGCTCACAGATGGTAAGCGCTTGTCTTTCACATCCTACAAGTGGCTAGGTGACACCACTCTGCCCTTGTCTTAGTGAGGGAGGCTTTCTGCATTGATCCTTGGGCGCCAGAACCAGCTCACAACTGAAATTGCCACTGTAGAGGTCCTGAGATTCTTTCGGGTACCGTGAGCAGCTGAGGACCACTTAGCCCCCAAACGCTCCGTGCTTCTCTGGCTCATCCCAGCTGTCCTACGGCCCAGTGGGAACTTCACTCAGAGGCCCCTCTGCTTGTGGATGGCAGCCACTGACAGCCCACAGGCTGCTGTTGTTGAAGATTCCCTGTAGGTGGCCACAGGCCACAGATGGGTCTTGTTTGAGCTCAGTGTATTTCAGACTTGCTGATACAGGAGATGCCTTGTTAGGTACCCACAGTGGCTATGACATTGCCACCAGGGGCCTCTCTCCCCCTGTATGTCCCCTCCCCTTCACTCTACAGCCCTGTGGAACAGGTGCCTATGATCTTCTCCCTATCGGGAAGTGGAGGCCCAGAGAAGGAAAGGAAGGAGCCCTAAGTTACAATCTAGGGTCTCGCTATCTGCTTGTAGCTCCCCAGCTCTTACGCTCTGTGCCCAAGGCCCTCAAGCCCCGGGGTGAAGGTGTCACAAGGGTGGAGGGCTCGTAGGTTCACAGAAATCTCTGGATGGTCTTGGAGCTCTGTGTCCAGAAGGGAGTGGCAGGAGGCCATGGAGGAGTGGCCGTGCATGTGTGTTTGATGGGATGGCCAGGGTGCTTTATGTGCATCTCCTGATCGACACCCCTCCCCAGCAGCACATGGCAAAGGGATGATTGCAGGGAGCAAGCGCAGGGGACAGAGCAACACTCACTTCTGTGCACACGCTTCCTGGTCTTGGAAAATGACATGTGTGAGAATTTAATGCCAGATGACCTGGCATAACCCAGAAGACCCAGTGGGTGGAAGGCAGCCTCTGATCGGTGAGCCACAGGCACAGGCTGAAGTGAGGCAGGATGCCCAATGCTTTCCTTCTCTTCCTTGGTGAGCTGTGCTGCCCATATTTAACTGATCCGCGTGCCTGTGTGGCAGTCTGCCTTTTGCCTGCTTTTGTCAGAGAGCATGGCCATGATAGTGAGGTCTCTTAAGTGTGAGAGTGTCACAGGGATGGTTAGCTGTAGTGTCAACCTCAGGTTCTATCCTAGAATAGACTGTGGGTTATAAACATCAACCTTGGAAAATGGTTCTGACAAGAAGCCCCTGTCTTTCTTGTTCAATGCTTTGCTGACTGCAGGCCCCAGGATCTTGAAAACAAGGAAGCATTTCATGGTGTGTACCTGAGCATGGGCAGGCTACATTTAATGCTAATAGGTTCTCATGTCCTCTTTCCTGTGGAGATGACTGTATGTGTGTCAGAACAGTGACAAGCTGACCAGTAACTTGTCTGATTGGGCCCTTCTTGATATTCCGATTGTGACGAGTTGTGAAGTCACCCCCAAGCAAGCTAAGCCCCTCTTTGCTGTCCTGGGGCACCATGATCAAGGGGTGCTGTTGGCCACATGCACTCATGGTTATGTGAACCCAGGACGCCACACTGAGAGTGGTTAGATGGGAGGCCTGGAGCCTGAGAGGCCAGAACCCCAGCTTCCTAAAGCTATCTTTTCCTCCAGAATCTAGAGCACACAGGACAGACACACAGGACTACCTGCTCCAGTGGAGAAGGACCCTTCTCCAGCAGGTGTTTGCTGTGCCCAGATGTGCAGGTGACAGGAACACACCTGGCCTTTATGCTGCTGCTTGAAGAAATTACCCTGGAGCCTGTCAAGCCAGAGCCTTTTTCGGAAGGGTGTGTCATGACTGTGAGGCTCTGATGCATGGTGAAGGCACCCTCCTCTCTGCCCCTTCTAAGGAAGCTGTAGAGAATCAGCAGTGAGTTGCATCTACTTGGTGGGATGATGGCACATCCCATATAGTGGTTAGTGAGAAACTTGATTCATTCCGGATATTCTAGGAAGGAGCAGCTCCCACAGGCTTAGATGTGGCTCAGATAGAGAGTTTCTCCCTCCAGCTAACTACCAAGGCTTGAGCAAAGTGTGTGGGACACGTCCCTCTTTCTCACAACATTCTTCATCCTAGAAAGGGCGGTCTGTGTTGTGGCCAGGTAACGGAGGGCAAGCCTCTTGGTGGCTTCATTGCTGGGCTCTTGGATCAACTCAAGAGGGAAGTCCCAGGGCTTCCTCATGGTATCAGGGTGACCTCTGGTGGGGTTCAGAGCCTTTCTGATACCTGTTTCCCTTGGGTTGGTGGTGATGGTAACTGTGAGTTATGAGCAGAAAAGTGTTAAGACCCTTGCTACCTGTCTGGAGTGCATATGATCACAGGTATTAGGTCGCTGTGTGGACAGGTCTGGTAGTCAGCAATGCGTGTCACCTGCTAGGTCATGTGTCCCCATGACTCCACTACACTTTACACTGTGATGTTGGCACTTGTGTGAATCCTGTCGTGCAGTCCTACTGGATGTGTGCTACACTGAAAGCACTGGAGGTGACTCACGTGCGCATGCATACTTGACTTGGTTCTGCCCCAGGTGAGGAAGAGCCACTGGAGTCTGACTTGCCCCTGGACTCCGTTCTGTGGCCAGCATGCAGGACACAACGTGAAGGCTCCAAATCTACACTCTCAGTCTCACCAACAATTCCCTTGTCCCTGGCCTTCTACATGCATCTCCCAGTCTGCTATTTGTAGCCATTCTTTGTCCTCCCTGGATGAGTCCTGAGAATTTGAAAGCAAACAAGCCTCTCCTTTTGGGTACTGTGACCTTTGCCACAAAGGCTCCCAGCACCACTAGATTCTGCTGCATGGGATATAGGTGGTCAGTTGTTGTAGTCAACTCTTGGGACGTAGGGGTTCCTCTTCCTTCTAAAGTGTGAGTCTTAGCGTTCTACTGTGATTTTTACCTTAAAGGAGACCCCACTCACCTCCTTGAGTGGATGAGAAGAATGGGTGGTAAAGCCTCTCAGACAGGTGGAGAGTGAATGGCAAGAACACGCAACAGCTTCCAGGGGTCCCTTGTGTACCCAGGCTTGTGGGACACCTAATGTAAGTGCAGCATGTGCATTGGACAGATGCTGCTCTGTAAAAGTGGTCCAAAAGAAAAAGTGCAGCACACCCACCTTCCCGCCCAGGGTATCTCTTGCTTGTGTGGTAGGGACTTCAGCACCACATCATTCTTGGCATAATGCAGGGCCCAAGCAAATACTCCAGCAGCTCATCAGTTGAGTGAAATCCCCTAGGTGTCCTCTCTCCCTTTTTATGAATACCTTTTTCGTAAAAGTCGACAAGAGTAGAGAGGCTGAAATCAAAGCAAATTCAAGAGTAATTTGAGAAGAATTGAGCTATTGTACCATAAGGGCGTATTCCAGAGGGGTGAGTTACGGGACCTTACAAAAGGCAGCAACCATGAGGATTTCACAAGACATTTTGCAACAATAATGTTAGCCAAGGTGACTAATAACAAGGGTGACTTTGGGGTGGGATTGAGCAGATAATCGCTGGGTAGATGTTCTTGCAAAACAATGCGGTGTAGTATCAAAATGTGGCACATCTTTCAGTTTAAAAGAATTATTACACTGAGACACAATGCCATTAATCTTCCTCCAAAAAATCTCCCTCACTTCTAACATACTTATCCCATCCTTGTCCCTCTGAAGCAGTCCTGGATTTCCTCTTTCACTAGTGTCTTCAGTTGTGCTCTCCTGGCCACCTTGATACTCTGAGTCCATTGAAAAGGTTTACTTTTCATGGTGATTTTGACTTCTGGGAAGAGACCGAAGTCCCATGGTGTCAAGATTGGCAAAGAAGGTGGCTCAGAACAAAGCCTAAAATTTCTCAGGACCTGCCTTTCCCTTGGATGGCACTGGGTGGCAGCATCCACCTGCCCCCATCTCTGCACAGAAACACACAGACAAGAGGCCATGTGAAAACACAGCAGCCGGGCCAGAGACCCCTTCTAATCCCAGATAGGTGGCAAATCAGGAGGCTCACAAAATCCAAGACAGCCTAGATAATTTACAGAGATCTTATCTCAACTTTTAAAAAATTTTTAAATTTTTAAATTAATTTATTTTTTTGGTACCAGGGAACGAACTTGGGTCCTTGTGCTTGCAAGGCAGGTGGCGGAACCCCTAAGCTGTATCCCGTCCCATATCTCAACATTTAAACAAGAACTGGGCATATAGCTCAGTCATAGAGTGCCTGCCTAGTGTGCAGTACTGAGATCTATTGTACTACAGGGAAGAAAAAGGTGACCCTCAGCAAATGAGAAATAGAGGCCTCATCAGAAACCAGTATTTTTCTGACACTTTCATTTGGCTGTACTAATGCCTATAACGGTGAGTAGATATATTTTTCTTTTTTAAGTTACCAGTCTCTTGTACTTAGTCATGGGAGTACTAGCAGGTAAATTCATACCACTTTTAATAATGAGTAGAAAAATTAGAGGATCACTATGGGAGTGGAAGAGTAGAACATGATGAGATAACTACATCTAACACACATCCAAGAGCCCTGAGCTCAACAAGAGCAGAATCGATATACTCAGTGCACAAAGAACTTCCTCCATGACAGATCATATGGTACAGCTCAAAGCACTTCTAAGAAACTTAACAGGACTCAAAGGGTTTGAACACATACAAAGTATGTTGCCTTACCAACATACCATGAAATTAGAAGTCAATCACATGGATATTGAGGAAGTTTGCAAAACAAAGAAGTGAACCATTGCTGTATACCCATGCAATTTCTACGGTGCCATAATAACACTAACTGGCTGAATGGCTTAAAGCACAGACATTTATTCTGTCACAGTCCTGGAGCCTGGAAGACC